ACGTTGAGGACCGTATGGAAAAAAGGACATATTTCAACCAATGTTATTGGCCCTGTATTCGACAACGGCTTACGGCGTTGCGTGCGCTCGACCGACGGTGATTCAACCCTTCGTAATCGAATTCCAATGTGGTTCAGTCAGAAGGATGACAATGTGGAGGAGCGAATGAGGACAGAAATAAAAGTATATGAAAAGCCACTACTGAATAAGGTCGTCAGAAGGCTTACTGACACCATAGTTAGCGATCAGCGTTATCCACAATCGTATAGGCGGTGCTCTGAATTCTAGCGGACCCATCTAAGCACAGTAGGGAATCCGGAACTCAGAACTCCATCGGAAGGTAACGATCAGCGACGCTGTTGCCAAAGCCAACGATTAAGCATAGGTAACGTCTGGCATTTCAATGATTTTGAGATGAAAGTGAGATCCAAAAGAAGGCTCAAAAGCAGCCCACCCTCCACAACGTGGGCAGGCCCTCCCGTAAAATTGTACTTTCAACTATGTAGCAGAAAAGCATAAAGAAGACCCCGGCTTGGAAGTTGTACCACTTGCGTTTCTGGCTTGCCTGGGACCGAATTAGCCGCTGCATAAGTAAGAATCGTAGTTGGAATGAGTCGTAGAGCGTACTAACAGATTCCTTTGGACTCAAACAAGCAACGGAAAGCTCACCGACCGAAGGTCGGAGTTTTTCACGAAAACCCTAGAAGAAAGGAATGAATAACTTCGTGTACGCTGAAGAGCAGAATTTCTGAAAAGGGTTATTGCAGGACACATTAACGAATGGAGACTGCTGGTATTGTTCGCTAAAGAGATTCGATAAGCTACGACACGGCGGGTGATACAGTAGGACCTCTGCCTGGTTAGACGTGAAACAGGCGATGGTATATCCGAGTAAGGCGCTCATGTCGTTAGGGGGAGGGACACTCAAATTAGTGGGCCAGTTACAGTACTTGGGAGCATGCCTTTGGGAGGAAGACATTCTGGGCGAGGATGTGAGCAATTTTGGTTCCCTCTGGGGTTTCTCCCCTCTCCTGGGCTTAGCGCCGTTTTCAAAGGCCATGTTTTTAATGGTCCCTAAAGCCCAGAGCGCTCCGAGTGCGAGCGCTCTGGGCTTTAGTCTCTAATATTATGCTGTTGGTGATTTTTAGGGCATAAATCTTCGTTACTTGTGCATAACATTGCCAGATTTACCCTCTTACTAAGCAACTTGAAATTTTGAATTTGTGAATCATGAAAAGAGCCACAAACCCTTGTTTAAGTGCAGGTGCAGTTCAATTTCTCCATGCCTTAAATGGCTAAAACTCGAGGTATTTGTCAGGGTTTAACGTGTGAAGGTTGTTATAAGGTGTAAGCCATTTTTAAAGCCACAAAGAAGACTTCGCAATGGGGCGTAACGGGAGATTCCGTTCTCGGTGCAGACACTTTAGAAAAAACCCTAACATATAATCTGCCTAAGACGCAAACGCTGTATTTTCATTTCTTAAGAAAAGTTCCTTTTGGTTAGGTTTGATTTTGCTAGCGTTCTCTTGAAACCACCAATTCGAACAGGAACCCTTATAAATTATCGAAAGTTATGGAAGTGAAAACGACGTGTTGCTGAATGGCAGACAATAATTCACAAAAACAAAAACATGAAGGAATTCCGAGAAGGCCACCGCTGCCGACGAAAACACGAGGGGAACTTGTGACAATCAAGGTGTAAACGACGACTAGCGAAGAATTCCAGTGGGGATTACCTAGCAAGACGACAGTTCCCGCGCCTGTGGGCGTGCCCACCATCAGAAAAGGTGAAAACTATTCATAGACAAAGTGTTTGTCAACACTTTGGTGTACAGGGAAGCAATTTTTGCCAATGAACAATTCCTAGGACTTTTTAAGATTTTATACCTTTTCGTTCCCTGAATAACATGGCTTCGGGGCCCAAAGAGTGCTGTTGCTGGCGAGAAGTGCCTTTTACTTAGTGCATTGTTTAGGGTCAAATCCTGGATTGAGTATCGCCCATACCACTAAAGTCTTGGATTTCATCAGAGTCTGTAAAATGCGTGGGCGCGATAAACGTTGGCCTTACATCGGTGCGCTTCACAAAGGTTGGATGTTGGCCAAATCGAGGGGCCCCACAATTCCGAATTGAAACTGGACTGTGTGGCGTATCCTAGAGAGGAGTTGATCTGAGCCGAGAGCATCCTTTTCTCTTTATTTACGATTTTTATACATGAAATGCGCAGGTGCATCTTTCCAGATGTTGGATATGTATTAAAGGCATGGATGAGAGCCAAATGAGAGGACAAAGTACTGATCCTTGGAGATCATGAGTTGGAGCAACTATTTCCAGACAAGGTCCACCACTGAACATATTTCAGGGCACCCCTCCTGCAATGGACTCCTAATGCGACTCCTGTTCGGTCCATCCTACGAAATTCCTTGACAATACCAGCCCCAACTTACCTTCCACAAGCTTCAGAAGTCCGCCAAAGAAAGAGCATTGCCCATTTCACAAGCCAACAAATACGCCCCAGCTCCACAGGGTGGCTACAAATTACTTGGCGCATGGTTTATTGACCATATTTTTAAAAAGCAAGCTATTACATCTTCAGAAGTTTATTTTTATATACAATAAAACATAATAATGCATTACTAAGATAGGTGCAGGGAATGGCCTCCTTCGGCAGCGACACAGGCTTCAATTCGAAGAAATCGTCCTACGCATTCTGGAGCAATTTCTCAAATAGATCCCCAAAAATTTGAAGTACAATGCAAACCTTACAAGGGAGGTCGTTCAGGGTGTGCCAAGCTTTTTCAAAATGGTTTCTTGCATGACATTGGGGCACATATGGGGACCACAGAAGCATGGTTCATTTTTCCTGAACGGCCCTCTGAATACCAGAAAAGGGGTCCCTAGTTCGATTCCTCGTGGTGACAAATTTTTGCATTTCGAGTTGACGTTTCCAAATTCGCGCAAAATGGAGTTAGCATGAATAATTAGTACCAAATTCATGATTAGGAACGTCAGTAACCCTTACAAATAGACTTTGATTGAAAAAACTGGTGAAAAAGGTGTGACTAGGGACCCCCTTTTCTGGTATTCAGAGGGCCGTTCAGGAAAAATTAACCATGGTTCTGTGGTTCCCGCATGTGCCTCCTATATCATGCAAAAGACCGTTTTGAAAAAGCTTGGCACACCCTGAAAGACCTTCCTTGTTAGCTCACAGAATTGGTTCCACAGTGTACTCCATTGATTTCAATTCTGAAGTGCTGATGCCATCCGTTGAAAGAAGCGAAGTGGACAAAATTGGCCCTGCACCAGTTCTGCACCACCATTGCCTTGAAAGTTGGAGTCTATTCTCCTGGAAGGTCCAGCAACATCTCTTCGAACTCAGGATGGTGATGCTTTTGAGAAAGTCTCAAGTAGTCCCCTTGATATACAGCTCTCGCTTCAACTCTCTCAAAGCTTAGGATGGCAAATTGCTTTTTAGAGTCTCGAATAGTCCTCTTAATATCCATCTCTCGCAACATTCGGCGAACCGAGGGCGCCAAGTGCTACAAATTCTATTGCGCACCATGCTACGATTCCTCGTGGTCGCCATAGGAAACACGCCCTCCTCATCCAGACCGACTGTGTTCGGTTCCTTATTCCTTGAAGCGTGCAGTGGATCTATATAGGGCTCTTGGTTGTACACCAAAAGGCTGACAATTGGAAACCGTGGCAGTATCACTCAGCCATTGTAACAATCATAAATTAAGGTGTTAAATAAAATGAGTATGAAAAAGCCAACCAACAAAACCAGAGTGAGCACGGAAGGAAACAGCACCTTTGAATAGTGGTTGAAATTGTATATCGTGCGTTGTCGCTATAATTTCAGCGCACCCTGTATTTAAGCTAAGCTCAATTTGTGTATCGAAACAAACATTTATTCAGAAGAGAGAATAGAACAGTATAATTGACATCTGGAAGCAAAACCTTTATTAATAGCACACGTAAGCATCACAGCAGCAAATTTACATAATATAATAGGAGCAGTGTCTAAACCTATTATGATGTGTTATGTTACCTAGACATCTCAATGGTGGCGATGGAGTGGCATATCACGATGATCAAATCGGTAATGAGCTCTACTGCGCACCTGCGCGTACAGGCTACGGCGCGCATAGATCTTTCCTCTTTTTCAACAAAGCTTACTCGTACTACTGGCTGAAGGGTCCATTTCAAAACAAAGGACATAGGCACTGTAGAGTCAGCTATGAAAAAAAGCTCATCAGAAAATCTTAAAGGAATCAGAGGTTCTCGACGAGATAAGATCTCGGAAGTTATATTACATGTAAGCAATACCAGCCCTTTGTGTGTTATACGGCTGGGACGTATGCTGTTAATGTGGAAGGGAGGCTATTCAACGTTACGTTTACCTTAATACTCGTCGGTGTGATAGAGTATACTGCGCAGTGGGCAGCTGTCAGCAACTCCGCCAGAAGGGCTGGTTTGCTCACCCCAGGACTAAGCCTTGGAGAGGGGACGGACCCGTCCTCTCTTAAGGCTTAGTTCTGAGGTAAGCACCAAATTGTGGCGGTTCTAAGGACCGAGTTGAAGTGGTCCGTCCACCGTCGGGGACTCCATCCCCTCCCCAACATTCAGCATACGGTCCCAGCCGAAGCGCCAAGGGCTGGTTGCCCGTCGTAATTTTACTGCGTTTTTCACTACTCGTTCATAAATCTCCCCGTTAACTCCACTTATTGCGAAAACTAAAAATAGATATTTCACTTATATCAATATCAGAGCAGCCACTCAATACTCACAAGTACGACACCATTAAATTAATCACAAGTGAGCTCCTCAGAATGTTCCATGTTCGTTAAGTCAAGAACATCAAGTCGTTTTCAAAGCGGTCAACACCTGACTTTAAACTTACATTATTCAATTCACTGTGAGCCCTAGTTTTGCAAAGCACATCCAGATACGTCGCTGGAGCTACAGCGAGTTCTCTCTTGGTGACGATTTAGAGACCGCATCAATCCGTGTTAGGATAATTTGGATTGAAGAGCACCGGCATGAAGAACTCGAACACCAGTACTATCAAGGAGACAGCAAGGGTGTAAAAAACCACGAAGAAGCACAATTCACGACCCTTGAAATATAATTATCTTAGGAAGCTTCACTGATTCTAAATTTGGAATTGACCAGTTGCGGTTCATATTTAGGCAGATATTGAGATAATACTTCACTGTAGTAACAAAAACACGTGTATACTCACCGTTAGGAGCAAGCCGTATTTTTATGAAACACACTTACTAGAACCTGTGGTAGTTATGAAACTTTTCTTGGCACTGAAAAGTTCCAGACGGAAGTGGTACAGTGGCAAGTGGCGCGCTTACCACGCGAGCGGTCCGGGGAAATCCTGGGTCGTGAGTCGCCCGGGCCAACCAAGCCTTCCATCCCTCCGGGGTCGGTTAATTGGTACCAGACTTGTCTGGGAGGATAAAAACACTGACTTGTACATCGGCTGGCCCCCGCAAGTCATTGTATAGGCCACATCGCATTCAAACGCCACTACGAATGTACAAATGGAAGTAGAATGCGTGCCGCATCCCAAAAAGGGATTGATCAACGGCAAATGCTTTATCTTTTATCCTCTCCTGAGCAGTTACCAGTTCATGTGATTTCACAAAGTGAGTGCGAATCGCTTTCAACGGAACACTGTTTACTCTATGAAGGTGTGACGTTAAGAAGCACACTTTCATAGCATTTGGTTACGTAGGTGGACTGTTACACTGGAATGAGTGAAATGACTTCTCAAAAGTGATCCGTTGTGAAGTGAAGTGAGAAAGCGTAGTTCGAGGAAACGGAAGCAAGGATAAAACTTTCACAGGTTTTCACTCTTCTCTCCTGAGCGCACTGGAGTTCTGTCAGAATCGTGACGACACTTGAGATTGATATGACACATGCAGTGACAGCAGGGGTAGCCGATCTATAGCCTGGTGCAAACGCTGGAACGGTAGTAAACCGCCAGTCTACAGGTGGCCACGATGTCACGTTGACCTCGCATTGGTCCGCGTTTGGAAGGCGTTGGGAAACATGGGATACTCACGTTGATCTCAGATAGAGGGCGAGATCTACACCAGACCCCTTAGTGGCCAGTCAGCAAGGTGACCCAAGCCATAGACGGCGAACCCAGCAGCCCGGCAGAGGAAGGGAGAAGACAATTGGCAGTTAGAGAAGCAGAGAGTCGCGTTGACAGCCAAGCGCGACCTCTGCATCTCTACCGTACTTATTGATTTCGTGGGAGCGCAGAGCGGCGGAAAGGAGTGTCGGTGGTGGGAGGGGAGGGTACGGGTGGCGAGAACCACTGAAGCTGTCGATAATATTGATTACCTGCCAATGCTATTTTGTGCAGTGTTCTTCTTATGGATCGTTTTATAGCTTGATCCTTGGGCATGGGAGCATTTCAGCGTTCGTATTACCATTGTGGCCAGTTCCCGCGGCACTTACACATCGGGTGGCGCGGCGGGCTCAGTCTATCTTGGCAATGGATCGGTCAGGGGATCAGTACTCCGGGGTGCATGAGGTTTCGCAACCCTCAACCGATTATTACCTTGCTTTCTACAATTCTTTCAACGTGAACAAGAAACGCTTCATGGTGCAGTGCCAGAGGTCGTGCAACGCTACATTACATGGTTCAAGTTCATGAGCGATGCGAGTTTTGCTAGGAATGTAGCGAAATTCACCGTTAACACTAGGGTCGCCTCGCCTTTGCCTTTCCATTAACGTCCGATGTTCATCACGATGGCACCACCCTTGAGTCCCAGTCTATGGGAGTTGACTACCGTCCCTGATTTTCCCATACTAGTCTCACAACCAGCGTGTGTGACGAACAGTTGTTGGGTGTGGGAGGGTTTCGGACTGTTATCTCATTTCTAAGCAACTTTCAGAATGTGGTATAGGTGCCGCTTTGGTATCATAGTTCCTGGAAGTGAATGAGCGGAAAGACAAATATATTCAACATTTCCACATATATCTGCACCTGATAAACACCTCACCTCACGGATTAGTGAGTATTATTAAACCCTTATTCAAACAAAGCGATAGTACTACAACTGAAGATAAATGTTCATAACTTTTCCCGCTCAACGACTGACTGCTGGTCTGTTCTGTTGAATATGGGTTTGATAAAGTAACAGAATCAGTAAAAAAAGAAAGCTTTCCGGTAACAAAAGCTTTAAAACTAATAATTACCTTCAAGGTATGTACATGCTCCGGCCGGTTGAACGGATCTAGATCAGTGCCGATAGTGTACTCTGAATGATGTGAGGTAAGCTGGATATTTTATTATTTTTTAGGGAATTTTTTATTTATAATGGCAACTTGTAAACTTTGAGACCGAGCTAAAAACTATGCTCCACTTTAACGAAGCGAGAAAGCGTCGGGTGCAGACCATACACCACAATGACGACGGCCTCCAAGTAATCTGGTTAATAGTGATTTTTGGTAAATGATAGTTGTAATTAGTGACAACTGATAGAATACAACTGCAACAGGCTAATCATTTCATTGGCAGAAAACATTTACATTTTGTGGAGGCCGTCGTCACTTGTGGTGTATGGTCTGCACCCGACGCTCTTCTCGTTTTTTGAAAGGGAGGTATGTGATATGCGAAATGAGCTGTTTGCTGAAGCTGACTCTTAGGGCGTTCATAGTCGGTCGTCCGATCGTAAGTTTACTCAACTTTACTTCACTTCATTGCATATCTCTGAAGACATGTAAAGGATATAAAAAAAGAAAATTTCCAAGAGACCATAACAAAAAATAGCCATTAAAACAGCCTAAAGTGTGAATGAAGATAGAACCCAACTAGCCGTCCGAAAAAAGGAAAATCCATCGATCAAGAAACCAAAGGAAAATTTGCAACATATGAAGAAAAAACTAGCTGACATCATTGAGATAATGGAATACTTCCCAATGAAGAGTGAGATAGAAATGAGAAATGAGTAACGATCGCAACGACAGCACAACATTGGATTGATCTTCAGACGTGTCCGAGGACTGGATTGTCGATACTTATCTAATGCTGTGCACGACGATATGGATGCCCTGAAATACCACTCAACATCACTCTACTCTGTTTACGCTACGGGTTTCTTGCGCATTCAGATGGCTGCCCGCTTCTAGCACCGTCCTGAAATTTTCGACCACAGCGTTCCTTTAGAAATTGAAGGTGCTTCGAAAGAGGTGCTTCTTAACTAATACATTAATATTTTACATCATATAATTGAAGCGACAGCGACAGTAGTAGACATGAGACTTATTGCGCCGAGATGAACTTGGAATTCCATGAGCATTCAGGGAAAACCCACTAGACAAGCGAACAGGATATCATGCCTTTGTGTTTTCGTAGCAGTATACCGCCTAGCTGCGACTCTTTCCTTTTTGGCACGAAAGGCGAACAAACCAATATGGAGAGGAAGAATAAATAAGCTGAGAGAGAACCGCAGCCTGGCAAAAGGCATTCGAAACAGAAAACTTGTATAAAAAAAAAAAAAAAAAAAACAGCAGTAGGAAGTGCGCATGAAAGAATAGCCGCCTTTGCGTCAACAAAAGCACCAAGGGCAATCAGCAAAGGAGACAGAAATACAATGAGCTTGGCAATTTCCGGTTCCTGGCTTGTCCTTCAGAATGTTTAAGAGAAAGGTATGAAAATTGGGAACTTTGTACACACCTTGAAATTTGGGAACTTGTCGAAGACCATCTGTCTCATGCAACCAGAAGCATCTCCACTCATCAAAGGATTCAGAGGTGCTACAGAGACAGTGCCTCCGCGTAGGCGCTATTTCACACTTTTGCTGCGGCCCCCTCTCTAAGTTGAGCAGGCTTGATTTAAAACGTAATAGGCACACGAGCGTAAGTAGCATCACCAGCCCTAATAAATAGTTTTCGAGTGAAATTATCTTGGATTTTTTCGAGTAACTGGATATCCTTTTTCTTATGAGGGCAGAAGACCGATGTACCACATTCCGCGATGGGACGGATATACGTTTTGTAAGCTTTTATTAGGACATCTTTATCACTTATCGCCAAACCCTTGAAGACTTGATATGTACGAAACACAGCCTTTTTGGTGATGGCCGCATAGTGATCAGAGAAACTCAGCTTATTGTCATAATGAAAACCAAGATCTTTGACTGAAGAGACTTCATCAAGGACATGACTACCAAGACAGTAGGTGTTTGCAATGTTAGAAACACCAATCCTCATATAAACAGTTTTTTTTTCAGGAGAAAGGGTAAATTCCATTGACTTGACCAATCAGAAATACAATTTAGAGCCATCTGAATTCTTATTGTGTCATCAATGTCTTCCAACTTCCTATAAACCTTAATGTCATCTGCAAATTGTTTGCAAACAACACCACATCTTTCCAGTAGACCGGGAAGCTCTGCAGTATATACAGCAAAAAGAATAGGTGATAAGACGTCCACCTTGGGGCACCCCACTTTTCACATCCATTACCTTAGAAAACGTAGACCCAACGGACTCGAAACGTTCTTGAAGAAAGACAACTCCTTATCCATCTACAAACTAAATGATGAAATTTGAGCTGATCTAACTTAAATAACAGTTTAGTATGGTCAAAGGCTTCAGAAAAATCGAAGTAAACTACATCACAAGATTTTTTATCATCAAGGTAATCACTCCAGTCGTTAATACATTCAGAAGATTTGTTTCAACCGATCTACCAGGGACAAATCCATGCTGGTTGGGTGGTATTATTCCATTTTTCTCAAGATGGGCCATTATGTGCTTCTTAAGGAACCTTCTCAAATATACGAGAAATAAATGAGGTTATACTGACTGGCCTGTAGTTGTCAACGGAATGCGAAGGCTCTTTCTTAAGTAGTGGTGTCACAAAAGAATGTTTCCATCCACAAAGCCATGCCTCACTAAGCATAACGACTGATGGAATATATAAAATATGCTACTCATGAAATATACTCATATCTATCACATCTGAAATCGATCAAAGCCAAACCTTCCATGCAGTTTATATTTGTGTTTTTAGAGTTCCCCTGGAGACTCAGCATCGTTGAAGCCAATTAGAGCCATGT